AATTCTTATGGTTGGTCTCTTTCCCCCCCCCCCCCCCCCCCAGGAGTGACTAACCAAGGAGGGGGGGGGGAGGGGAAACGGAATGAAATTCACATATTTCAAACGCGAGATTCAGTGTTCTCCACAATCCCGGGGAGATAGAGCTTAAAACTTTCTCGAGTTATTCTGTGTTGAGAGAGGAAGAAGCATGCCAAATTTCGTTGCTGTTGATGCACTCAGAGTGGAATACAAGGAGGTTGAATTTTGCTACGTAAAGGGGTTGAAGAAAGGTAATAGGGGCTACCAAAGCCTTTTGACGTCAGGTCGCATGGACATCCCACGGATGTCTCAACTTGGTCTCCTAGGATTCTACAGTCCTTGGTTATTGACCCACTGGAGAATAAAAGGGGAAATCCATTTCTTGAAACATCCCAAAACGGGAGATACACGTCCGTAAGGTCAAATTTGACTCGTCCATTTAGAAGTCCCCCTAATCCATGGACGAGATAAGATTTAAAATTCCCCCTAATCCTCGCATATCCCTACTTTACCTAGATTGAAGGATGGGCTCAGATCCCTAACCAAGATAGTTTTACCCAGATATGCTGATCAGACGAGATATGCTGATCTGAGAACATAACGGAATGAATTAAAATGAGGACCTCAAAATTGTCGCGTTTCTTGGTCAGTTTCCTGATGTACGATACGAAAATCATTACTTCTCCTCTGCATAAATAAAGGAGATAAAAGTGATATAAAAAAACCGAGGTTGGAGACCAGAGCACGTGGGAGACATCTACCGTCGACATTATGCACCTGCGATTCACGCCCTCCTCGCACAGGTTGCGGGTGGGTCCCGCAAATCACAGACATCCTAGGGACCTCTCAAGTTCGAAATCCAAACTGGAACTTTCTAGTCGGGCTTTCAGCTGAATTTACAGTTGAAATTCAGCTGCATCTGTGGATGGACCTCTGGCAAGAATAGCCAGCAAAAAACATTGCAAATTGATATTAGGAACCAATCTGGATCTGACTTCGCTTTCCGGCTGTTACCCAGTTGGAAAGGGAAAGGACTTTCCAGATGAAAATTATAGCGGCGTCCGACCGGGATTTTAAGCTGGGTCCCCAGCCTGTCTCTCGGTCTTCACGGGACATCCTGAAGACGTCGATGTGCTGTGGGGGGTGCGCAAAATTCTCACTTGGCTCAATCGGGGCTGAGAAACACATTAGCGAGGCCTTTCCATCGCGCTTTTCGCCTCAAAAACCAGAACAGAGGACACTCAGCATGAGTCATACGAGTGCCTTCGCAGCATTATTGCAGAAATTGATTAGCTCTGGATGTCTCGTCCCATCACAGGCGCAGTGACGATTCCCTCAAGTCAAAGTGAAGTTCTGGTGCATGGCAAAAGTTAAGTTCTGTAAGAAGCTGTTGGAAACGGTGAAACGGGTCCATGACATGCTTAAAATTTCAACAATGCACTATCGCTCATGATAGCATACAGATGGATCCAATGATTTCAAGATAATTGGCGACACTCACGAGATGCATCGCCTGGGAACATAAACTCCCCATCGACACTAGCGAGCAAGTGCTCCCACATGCAATTTTTTTTTGCCAAACTGAGGGTCTCTTTCGCGGTTTCCTGCGGCTTAACGCAATGTTTACCATTTGCTATGCATTCAATTTCAACAGCAGGAAAATGTCACTGGATCTGCAAGGAACGAAGCGCGCAAAGAAGTCGTTGTGCTTTTGCGACGATACATTCTGCCCGATTGCAAAGACTCCAGTTTTTGAAATGAAAACTCATTTTCAAAAGCTATAGATAGGCCGCCTCATATAATCCTGTCCTGCTCGAGAGGAAATGGCGAAGATGGCACATTGGCATCAAGCCAGCTCATCTCTTAACCTCCCCACAGAATAATAGCAATTACTGGAACTGAACAAAGAGGAAATTTAAATTTTCAGAAAAAAAAATCCACAACGAGCAATTGGAAATCGAGGAACGCTCGGGCCCTCACCTTCTTCCTTCCAGTAGATGCAGAGGACCTTGCGTCCGGGCCAAGGATTCGGGAGGGTGTAGACGACCGGATCCGTGAGATTCTGGACGCGGACCCCCCTTATGGACGCAGCGACGACCCTCCGCCTCCTCCCCTGCTTCCCGTCCCCACGCCGCGCGAACAGCTTGTCGTTCTCGAAGGCGGCGAACTGAAGGCGCAGGGACTCGTTCCGTCCCAGGGCCGCCGACGCCATTTTCAGGATCTCCTCTGGGAACTCCAGCCTTGGCTCCCACTGTGTCGACGGAAAATACGAACGGTTTCGTCGCCGATTTCAGCACACCCGCCCGGCAACTCTTCGCGGCAAAAGAAACGGTATCGCAGAACTACGTGGAAGATGTTTTATTGTAAAATTTCAGGGCGATTCCAACGAGAAGTCGTCACTGCAAACCACCATCGAGCATCAGAATCCCAACTTTATTTCCCAACGGACCCCCAGACGAGACACCACCACGTCGAAACCCAGTTCCCAATACCCCTCCCACTTCCCCCAAAGAATCCCACAGACGCATCAACTCACCGACAAACGCGAGGAATTGATCTCCCTCTGATGGGACCCAGGCGAGAAGACGAGGGCCTGGCGGTCGACCTGCCTCGGGTCGATCTCCTCCGCTTGCACGAAGAGATTCTCCGTCCGGATGGCGACGGTGGAGCCTGGCTCGAGCGGGACGTCGTTGGTGAAGCTGTTGATGACGTCATAGATCGCCTGGGCGGCCTCGCCGTTCGGGTCGGACTCCTCCAACACGGAGACGTTTGCGCCGAGCAAATTGCTGATGGCGGTCATCATCTCCTCTGCGATCTGTCGGGACGAAGGCGGACGTTGCGAGCGGACGCGAGGGGACGCGAAGGTCGTTCGACCGGGGGGACTCGAGGGATGGCTCACCCTTTGGTCCTGGAGGGCGAAGGTGAGGACGTGAGTGAGGTCGTTCGTCGTCTGTCGCAGGGTCTGGGGGTTCTGGTCGGACGAGGTCGTCAGCCTCTCCAGCTCGGCTGCCCTTCGCTCCGCTTCCAAATAGTCCTGCGATCGGAGAGAATCCGTGACGTCGCGTTTGGAATTGCATTTAATATTCGGTGGAAAAGTATTTGGCGGGAAAATATTCGGTGGGAGATTCGAGATCTCGATGATGGTAAAGACGCGGTGACAGGGAACGTTTGGCAATCTTGAAGGGTCGTTTCGATCGCGAACTTCAATAGTTTGCTGCTATCGATCAACGTTTTCATGATTTGCGAGGTGAAATATCCTCAACAATGGCTCCAATTAGAAAGAGGACGCTTCAAGGAAATTCCATGTCTGACGGTCCTTCCATCTTAAAGCATAAATAGGGTAAGCACCCCGGTTTCTGGCCGGTCTGGCAGGTCTCCAGTTGCTGGCCGGTGAGGCTTAAATCCAGCGTAATTAGTTAATCGGATCGTTTTCAAGCATTCTATCAACACCTTCCCGTGCGAGGACCTATTACTAGAGTTTCCCGGTGTCCACTTCCTGTGGGAGGAAGTATCAGCGTGGCCAAAAACTGGGGTGCTCGATTGTTATGTGAGGTACCTAGTAGCATGTAAACGAGACTTGTTCACCGGCTGGAGCTAATGAGTTAATAGCAGTGGGACTGGGACTCCTTCAACGTCTGT